ATATGGGTGCTGAGAACTGAACCTGGGTCCTCTGAAAGAACAGCCAGACCTTAACCACTGAGCCATTTCTCCAGCCCCCACATTAATTCAAAACAGTCTACAAACAAAATTTTACTAGCACAAATTGGTACATAAAACCAGGTGTGGTGGTGCACACTTTAAATCCCAGCACTGATAGGCAGAGACAGGTGGATTGCTGTGTGTTTGAGGTCAGCCTGGTCTACATAACAAGTTACAGAATAGCCAGAGCTACATAGTGAGACTGTCTCAAAAAGCAAAAACATATTGTACAGAATTCTCAAAGGACTAATAAAACTATACAAAATGCTAATTCTATGAAATATTTTAATGAAAAAATGAGGTCTCATTGTGTTCCCAGGCTAGAGTGTGGTGGCTACTCATGGGTGCCCCTACTACTCTTCAGCACAAACGGACCGATTGTCTCTGATTCCAAAGGTCACCACATTGATGCCAAACTTACCTGGTTAGAGTACACTACAGCTCCAGGCCCCTGAGCTCCAGAAGCCCTTCTGCCTCTGGAGTAGCTGGGATCACGGGCCTGTGCCACCACACCCGGTCTGTATCAAACAACGGAGGTGAGCCAGGCATTGTTGCTCGTGCCTGTAATCTCAGTATTTAGGAGGCTAAGGCCGATTGTGAGCTCAAGGCCAGCCTTGGCTATATAATGTGTCCCTGCATCAACAAACAAACAAACAAACAAAACCCCCAAACAAACACAAAACCTGAAACAAGAACTGTGGTGAAATTTGTATAACATTAAATCTTAAGTGTGGTGCTTCATGTCTGCAGCCTCAGCTACTTGGGAGGCTGAGGCAATAGGATTGCTTGATCCCAGAAATTCAGAGCTAGCCTGGTCAATATAGTTAAGACTATGTATGTATACACACACACACACACACACACACATACACACACACACACACATCTATCTATCTATCTATCTATCTATCTATCTATCTATCCATCTATCTACCTACATATATACATACCTAATTATCACCCATCATCTATCTGTCTGTCTGCTTGTCTATCTATCATCTATCTATCTATCTATCTATCTATCTATCTATCTATCTATCTATCTATCTATCTAGTGTGTGTGTGTACTGGGCAAGTAACCCAGTGAGAGCCATGGCTAGCATATGTAAGTTCCTGGGTTCTATTCCCAGAACCAGAGAAAATAGCAAGTTTTAAAATTTTATTTAACTTTATTTTGTGTGCATTGATGTGAAGGTGTCAGATCACCTGGAACTGGAGTTACAGACAGTTGTGAGCTGCCATGCAGGTGCTGGGAACCCCAGTCCTCTGGAAGAGCAGCCAGTGCTCTTAATCGCTGAGCCATTTCTCTACCCCCCATGCAAACATTTTTTAATGCACAAAATTCAGAGGCATTTAATGTTTCCACAGTGTTGTGCCACTGTCACTTATAGCTAGCTCAGAACATTTCATCACCCTCCAAAGAGACTTTGCACCCATTAAGCAGTCTCTCCTCCTCCCACCTCCTGGCAACTATTAATTTGCTGTCTCTATGGACTTGCCTGTTTAAGGTGTTTCCTAAGAATAGAGTCTTACATGGTGTGGTCTTTTGTGATTGGCTTCTCAGCAGGATTTTTGAGGATTATCTGTGATGAGTTGTATGTCATTCCTTTTAATGGCTGGATAATATTTCATTGTTTGAGCATACGACATTACAGATTGCCTGTTTCTCAGATGTTTAGCATTTAAATTGTTTCCCCTATTATTTTAGTGGTACTATTGCAGTGTTGGGATCGAACCTAGGACCTATGTGTGGCCTCTCGCATGCTAGGCAAACACTCTACCACTGAGATATTGCAACAGCTTTCTTTTCTCTGTCTTTCCATGTTGGGCATTGCATTCAGGGCCACACAAATACTAATACTATTACTCTGTTCCTAGCTGCATTCTTAGCTCTACCTTTACTTTATACTAGTTTTCACTTTTATTCATATGCACGTGTGTGCTGCTGTGAACCTGGGTGCACAGAAATCCCTTTGAATCCCTGCTTTTAAATCTGTGGGGTATGTATGGGAAGGGGCACTGCTGTATGCCATGGCAATTCTAGGCTCAACCTTCTGAGGACCACTACACTCGTCCCCATCTGTGCCTGCATCACGGAGGTTACCAGTTTTTCAGCATCCTGGCCCACGCTTGTCATTTCCTCTCTTTATTGCAGTGGCTCAGTCGGTGTGAAGTGGTATCTCCTTGTGGTTTGGCCTTGCATTTCCCTAAACGATGTCGAACATCCTCTCACGAGTTTGTTGGTCATTTGTGTATCTTTAGAGAAGCATCTACTCAAGTGCTTTGTCCATTTTAAAACAAGATTGTTGTTCTTCTGACTTAACATGTACTTAGAAATCATTTCTAATGTACAGAAAAATTGCAGTATAAATCAGAGAAGTCTATATAACTTTTGCCTTAGGTTCATCTCTTACTAACATTTTACCTCATTTGCTTTATTTAATTTTTTTATTTTACATGTTTGTATTTTATTTTAATTATTTTTTTGGGTGTGCATGTGGGGGCCAGAGGAAACTTTTGGGAGTCAGTTCACTGCTTCCATCTTGTTATTCCCAGGAACTGAACTCAGGTAGTCAGCGTTGGTGGCAATCACCCTTTCCCACTGAACCATCTTCCTGCACCTCATGCCCTGCCCTGTTTCCTTCCTTCCTTCCTTCCTTCCTTCCTTCCTTCCTTCCTCTAGGATTGATGAGTGTTTTCCTGCACCACTGGGAAGAGAAAGTATAGACACTCAGTCTGTAGATACTTCAGATCAAGAATACTTGTTTACGTAATTATACAGTGCTCTAAACCTGAGTACATTTGACTGATATGACATTTCCTCTTTATCTGCTTTCTGTACTCTAATTTTATCCATTCATCCAGCATTGCACATTTCCTCTTCAGTACAGAAGCTGGGTTAGGGTTCTGGGTTGCATGTGATTGTTAGGTTTTCTCCCTCCCTTCCTCCCTTCCTTCTTTCCTTCCCTCCCTCCTTTCCTCCCTCCCTTCCTTCTTTCCTTCTCTTCTTCCCTTCCTCCCTTCTCTGCCCCCAACTCTCCAGGATCTCTCTGTGTAGCCTTGGCTGTTCTGGAACTTGCTTTGTAGACCAGGCTGGCCTTAAACTCACATTATCTGCCTGCCTCTGCCTCCTGAGCGTTGGGATTAAAGGCATGATCCACCACTGTCTGGATTATTATTATTTTAATTATTATTTTTGGTTTTTTCCAGACAGGCCTGAACTCACAAAGATCCTCTTCCCTCTGCCTCCTGAGTATTGGGGTTAAAGGTGTGTACCACCACCACTGCCTAGCATTTTAATTAATTAATTTAATTAATTTCAGACAGGGTCTTTCTCTATAACCCTGGTTTGAAATTCTATTTTTTTTCTTTTTCTTTTTAGATTTATTTATTTATTAAGTATACAGTGGTCTGCCTGCATATGTCCCTGCAGGCCAGAAAGGGCACCATATCTCATTACAGATGGTTGTGAGCCACTATGTGGTTGCTGGGAATTGAACTCAGGACCTTTGGAAATGCAGCCAGTGCTCTTAGCCTCTGAGCCATCTCTCCAGCACTCTTTTTTTTTTTAAAGAAAACAAACTACCTCTTTTCATTTACATACCAATCCAAGTTCCCATGCCCTCCCCTTCTCCCATTCCTTCCATATATCCTCCTACCCCACACCCATCCAATCCCTTAGAGAGGGTAAGGCACATTGCTTTGGGGAAAGTCCAAGGCCCTCCCTACTATATCTAGGCTGAGCAAGGTATTATCCAAAGAGAACAGGTTCCCAAAAAGCCAGTACATGCAGTAGGTATAAATCTTGGTGCCACTGCCAGTGGCCCCTCAGTCTGCCCCAGCCATGCAACTGTCACCCACATTCAGAGGGACTAGTTCGGTCCTATGCTTGTTCCTTCCCAGTCCGGCTAGAGTTGGTTAGCTTTCATTAGCTCAGGTAAACTGTTTCAGTGGGTGAACCCATCATGGTCTTGACCTCTTTGCTCATATTCTCATTCTGCCTTCCTCCTTCTCTATTATCCCATTCCCTCAAGTTCTCCTCACCTGTCCCCTTCTCCCCTCCTCTTCCCCTTCCACCCTCCTTTATCCTCCTACCCCCATTTTTTAATTGATTATTTAGAATTTTGATGTTTAATTTCTTGAGTTCTTTATACATTCTAGAGATCAGTCCTTTGTCTGATGGGGGGGGGGGGTTGATGAAGATCTTTTCCCATTCAGTAGGCTGCCTTTTTGTCTTATTGACTGTGTCCTTTGCTTTACAGAAGCTTCTCAGTTTCAGGAACACTTCTGTCCTTGCACATGAACTTGTACGCTTCTGTTCATGTTATCGTGTAGGGGTCAGAGGACCACTTTGTCTCCCCTTCCACCATACGGGCTCTGGAGATGTCAGTAGGCTTGGTAGCAGGTATTTTGCCATCCCCTAATTGAGTAGTTTTATGTAACCGTCTCTATGTCTCCAGTTCCTTCTGTTATCTTGTTCTGTTCCTCTGGGCAATTTTCTCACCACCTAGTCTGGTGGTCTCCCAGATAACCCCACATACTTGAATCTGACCTGGCTCATGGCCCTGCTCACAGATCAGAGGCAGGCCAGTTTGTAGTGATCAGGGCTTGGGGACACTTCTTTCATTTTCTGTCTTTGAGCTTCCCTTCCTCATGCAGCTGCAGCAGCCATAGGCTAGATGGAGGGCCCACGGAGCTATCCAATCACCAGTACAAGACCCTCTTTCCCCAGCAGGGCGAGGAGGCTGAGAGTGATGAAATCCCACCAGGGTGGTTGCAGCATGTTCAGCAGGACCCTATGATAAGATGTCTAACAGTTTCAGGGCAGCTGTTTTGAGGTTGAGAGGCTGGGAGCCCACAGGAAGTGACTTGGTGCTGAGCTGATGCAGCTCTGTTCAGCACCCGTCCTGGCACGGAGGCTGCAACTGTCACTCCTGGGAATGTCCACAGAGTGCATCGATCCTTGGACAGGAGGGCCACAGAGCCAGACTCAGAGTCCAGGTGGGGGGTATGGAACCTTGGCTTCAGGTGGGTGTCTGCCTCCCCCCACATCTGCCTCCTGGAACCTGCCCCGCTGGAGAGCATCCTTGGCTGCAGCTGTTCTCTGCTACATCAACCTTCTGAACTACATGAACTGGTTCATCATCCCAGGTGAGCAGGGAAGGGGTGACCCAGGGCAGGATCTCCAGGTACCCCCACCCTATAAGCCCATGACTATGCACCCATCATGGTCTTCCTCCCAGCACCCATCCTTCTCTTGAAGCACATCTCTGGTGGTCTCCCCTCATTAAGTGGTCTCTAGCCTCTCCTGAATGGTCCCAAGCCAGAATGGGACACAATGTTTGGGGGCAGGGACATTAGGAGGTAGATGGATAGGATCGTGCTCTGCAGCAAAGGCCTCAGGTTGAAGATGGAGCTGCAGGCAGGGTTATGGAGAGCAGGACAGCTTGGCCCAGCTCCCCAGTGAGAGTGGCTCTTCCTGGACTGTTTCTGGGGCAGCTGGCTGCTGGCCTACCTTGCGCAGTTTGCCTTCCTTCTTGTCGGAAACAGGGCACAACCTGCTTCTGTGTTTTGTGGCTCGCTTATGCGTTCGCTGTGGTGAATGTTTTTCTCGTTTGCTTTTCTCTTCTAGGCATTCATTCTTTCCTTCATCAATTCATAGGCAATCCTTTCTTAGAAAGATCATTCTAATCTGTGTGTGCATGGGTGTGTATGTGTGTGTGTGCAAGCGGTCAGAGGACCCCTCCATGGAGTCGGTGCTTTCCTTCACTTTTATGTGAGCTCCAGGGATTGAACTCAGGTTTCCAAGCTCGTTCAGCAAGTGCCTACACAGGCTGAGCTAGCCATCTTGCCAGCCTTCTTTTCTTTTCTGAGGCCTCATGTAGCTCAGGCTATACTCAAACTCACTATGTAGCTGAGGCTGACCTTAAGATGCTGACATTCCTGCCTTTGCCTCCTGAGAGCGAGGATTACAGGCATGCCACTGCAATGGTTTATGTTCTTCTAGGGATTGAAGTCAGGGTTTTTGTGCATGCTACGCAAGCTCTCTACTAACTGACTGATGTCCCCACCTCTTTTGTTTCTTTCTTTGTTTTTGAGACAGGGTCTTAAGTAAGACCAGTTTGGCTTTGAATTCACTATGTAGTTGAGAATGCTTCTGTCTCCCAAATGCTGAGACATGCCTAGCCAACCTTCACTTTTCATCACCCACATCACCACTGTGCACTGTGAGCAGGAGCCTCTGGTAGGACCCAAGAGAAACTCAGATGTGTGGTCCCTACTGCAGGGACAACTGTCTTAAGAGGCACAGAAAGAAGCTTACCAATAATGACCATGCAAGGCAGAGAGATGGGGAGCAGTGCAGATGAGGGGGCTCAGGCCAGGCTGGGAAGCCTACTCGAGTAACTGTAACTGCTGGCCATGCCCAAAGCCAGGACGTTGAGCCATCAGTTATGAGTTTAGGATAGCCAGGAACCTCTGGAATAATGGGAATCTGGGGCTGCAGACATTACCAGAGCAGGACTGTGTCGTTGAGGAACTCAGAGGGACACAGAACATGGGTCCAGCTTGCTCAGATGTGAGGCAGAGTCGGGTGAGTGCCCGCAGAGCAGCCCCGAGGATGAGTGACTACAGAACTGACACACAGGGACCGTTTTTCCTGGGCCTTGGGAACTGGGATGACTGGAAGGCAGGAATCATAGATGTGAATGGAGGCAGGTGAGCGTATTGATCAGAAGTGGCAAGAGGGAGAAAAATCAGGAAACAATCCTCCAGAGGGTGTTTGGTGCAAGATCACAGGCTTTTGAATGGCTGCCTGGGAGCTTGTACTTTCTGATCCAGGCAATGGGGAACCATGGGAGAGAACCTCAAGTGGATTTGGATCCTTGGAAGATGCAAGGTGAGCTGGGGAGGTCAGTTCAGAGGCTACCACAGGGGATCAGGCTGACCAGGAGGCCAGAACCTCAGTATGGGCTGAGGGGCTTGGGGCAGTGGGGCGCGGTGAGAGGCAGGGGGCTGCTGGGAAGTGTCACTGTGCACCCTTCTGAGACTTAGCCCCAACTGCAGCACCCTCTCTGCCCTGGGAGCCCCTAGTGGGGCTGTCAGACCCTGAGACCTGCCTGCCAGAGTCCTTCCTTCTTGGGACTTCCTTTGGCTGTGGTCACAATGGGGAAGGCGTGGAGAAGTGAAACCATGCAGGGGTTCTTGGGGACTGCTGGGGTCAAACATTGGTGTAGAAGCTAAGGTCTCCTGTGGAAGTAGTGCTTAGGAAGACCAGGGTGGTAGAGACTGGGGGAAGAGCTGGCTTTGCCCTTGGCCTTAGGTTACCCACAAGGTTGAGAAGTTCTCAGGAGACAGATCAAGGGGACTCTCCTAAAAATGGAAAATGAGTGCACTCAGAGGACTTTTAGGTAGCTATTTTTCTTGCTAACTTATGTTGCATATTTTCCTTTCTCTCTGATGATTATGCCATCTGGTGTCATTAAAAGATGAAAAAGGGCCGAGGATGTAACTAAGTTGGTCGAGTGCTGGTTTGGCAAGCGTGAAGCCCTGGGTACCATCCTCAGCAACCCATAAAACCAGTGCAGTGGCACATACCTGTAATCCTAGTACTTTGGATAGAGTCAGGAGGATTAGAAGTTCAAGGTCATCCTTGGCTACATAGAGAGTTTAAGGCCAGCTTAGGCTATATGAGGATTTTTTTCTCAAAATAATAATTTTTAAGGTGAAAAAGATATATAGATGTATATGTTTGGCTGTTATGGAGATCAGGTTCAAACCAGATGAATAAATGAACTCTCCTACCTGGTGCCTTTAGTTCTTTGATCTTCATCTAATGGCTGTAGAGATCATATCAGAGGGGTGGATGCAGGGCTTCTTGTGGGCGGGGCCCCATGTGGGGACTTTTGTTCCCCTTCTGTGATGCTGGATGGGGGAGCTGCCTCTGTCAGAGTAGCAATCCTTGCTCCTCCCATTCCAGCTGGACAGTCTTGGGCAAGTGGAGTCTGTGTATCAGGCACAGTGATGGTCCCGCCTCTCCTTTTGAGACAGGGTTTCATATACCTTAGGCTGGCTTTGATGTCTGCTGGCCTCAAACTCCTGATCCTCCTGTCTCTACCTCCTGACTGCTGAGATTACAGGTATGTGCTGCCATGCCTGACTTTGGTGTGTGTTTTCTACGGGCATGTTTCTGTTTTTTTTTTTTTTTTGTTTGTTTGTTTTTGTTGTTGTTGTTGTTGTTGCTGTTGCTGCTATTGCTGTGTGGTTGTAAAAATGTCCAGGTCGGTGGGGATGAGGACTATGGGTCCAGCTGCCATGTCCTGTGCTGTGCTGCCCATCTGGGCCTGTCCTGATTTCAGAAGAAGCAGCCTGGGAGGGCAGCCAGGTGGGTTGCTTCCCATTAATGCTGTCTATCTGTCCCTAGGAGTGTTACTGGATGTCCAGAAGTATTTTAACATCAGTGACAGCCATGCTGGTTTGCTGCAGACAGGTAAGGAGCCAGTTCTGGACCCTGGAACAAGGGCTCTTTTGTTATAGTGTGGTGGGTTCTGTGTCCAGTTCCAGACCCTAATCTTCTACAGGAGAGAGCTGGGTCTCGAACAGGCTCTGGAGCTGGAGTCAGCTGCAGGATGTACTGAGGGAGACAGACTGGGGAAGGCTCCTGAGTGTTCCTAGTTTCCAACCTGCTTGTAGCTCAGCTGAGTATTCCAAACAGAGAAGCCAGAAATCCCAGTGTGTGCTTTTCTCTCACAGAGCTGAGAAATCTGACTAACAGGCTCATAGACAGGTAGACAGATGCACCTTGTGCCTCAGGTGGGCTCAGAAGGGCTCTGGGTCGCAGAGAATCTATTAATCCAGCATCAGGAAGCAGCCACACTCCATTCCAAGGGGTTGGTTTATGAGACCATGAAACATAGGTTAACCTTCCATGTAAGCTTGGGTAAGTGATACACACCTATGTGCATGCACAGGAACACACATGGTCACATGATGCCACATGGACATTGTGGGTCCTCTCTGCAGCCTGTCTCTTGCCCCAGCTGCCCTCTATCTTCTGGGGACCAGTTCCAGGACCAAGAGTTCCAGGCCAGTCTGGAACTTAGTGAGTTTTAGACAGCCAGTATTACATAGTGAGACAGACCCTGTTTAAAATAAAAAGGCATGTCTGGGTGTAACGGCGCATGCCTTTAATCCTAGCACTCAGGAGGTGGAGGCAGGTAGATCTCTGTGAGTTCCAGGCCAGCCTGGTCTACAGAGTGAGTTCTAGGTCAGTCAAGACTATCTACAGAGACCTTGTCTCAAAATTTAAAAAAGGCATAGTGTTTGCAGATTCCCTACTACAGCTTCCTCTAAATTCAGGTCATCTCCAGACAACTTGGTATAGCTAACACAAATCTATGAAAACCATTGCTGCAGTGTTTCACTTAGGGGCTGGTAAAAAGGAGAAAAGTCTGTTCGAGGTCAGTGTGGATGTTATGCTTATTGAACTATTTTATCTTAGGCAAAGGTTTTACTTATTTATTTTTATTAAAATTATATTTACATCTATTTTGTTTTGCTTTTTGAGACAAGGTTTCATTACGTAGCGTTGACTGGCCTGGAACTCTCCGTGTAGAGCAGACTGGCCTCAAACTCACAGACGTCCCTCTGTCTCTGCCTCCCAAGTGCTGGGATTATTGGTGAATATCACCATTCCTGGATTTATTTATTTTTAAATATTTATTATTCTATGTGTACAAATGTTCTGCTTGCTTGTGTGTATATGTGCTACGTGTATGCTTGGTGCCTTTGGAGGTCAGAAGAGGGCTCTAGAGCCTCTGGAACTGGAGTTACAGATTGTTCTGAGCTGGGAACAGATAACAGATTGTGGACGCTGGGAGCTGAACTTGGATCCTCTGCAAGAACAAGTGCTCTTAACTCTGATCCATCTCTCAAAAACATACATTTATTTATTTATTTACTATTTATTTATTTATTCATAAGGCCTCATGTAACTCAGGCTGGCCCTGAAACCATCAAGTAACCAAGAATGATCTTGAACTCTTGATCCATCTGCTTCTGGCTTCCCAGAGCTGAGACTATAGATTTTATACAGATAATAAAAACGTTTTAAATGTCAACTGAAAGCATATGAAGGAATAAATAGTTCTAGAAGGAATGAAAGGAACAACACAGATTTTGCTAACACTGGGACTGGTGACACGTGCTTCAGGAGGCAGAATCACGTAGATCTCTAGGAGTTGGAGGCTAGCCTGGCCTACATAGTGTGCTCTAAGTCAAACAGGCCTCACAGGGAGACTCGGTCTTGAACAGAAGAAAACAAATAAAACATCACCGAGAGCACTGGGTGTAGGTATAGTTGTTATCCCTGGGAAGTAGCGGCAGGAAGAAGAATCAAAGTTATCAGCTACATAAGGAAAGAGAGGTTACCTGGGCCTGAGACCATTTGTTCAGTGAGATACCATGTGTTTTTCATGAGACAGACAAAATTGAAATTCTAGCTCGTATCAGTTGGTGGCAAGAGCTCTAACATGCATTTCTATGCCAGTGTAAATTGATATAGCCTTTTTGGAGCCCTGTTTTGGCAGCAGCTATTAAAATTTTAAACGCCGTCAACACTGGAGATCACTCTCTGTGGAGTAGTAGGTTGAACCATATTAAATTGCTGGTTTTGTAGGTCAAAAGTGGCCTAATTTCCACAATTACATATTGCTTAACCAAGTACTACAGCAGGTCATGGGAGAGTGGGGGGACTGGGACCTGAGCTGGACATTCATTGGGCTAAGGACTCGTCAGTAATCTATGATCAACAAATAGAGTCCCAGGTTTTAGACAGAGCACTCCTGAATCTTGGCCTTTTCACAGTGGATAAGGTAAAAGGGGAGGGGTTTTTAGGCCTTCATTATCTACCTGCTAGCTTTACCAACTAGGAGGGCAGGACTCAGCATCTTGCAAGGAAGGAGGAGATTTTATTTTAGACACAGACATTGTGCATTAGTTTATCCACATGCTAGCCAGCTGGGCAAACCCAAAACTAGGTCTTTGTTCTCACAGAAGAGCAAACACAACACTAATAAGTGCTTTGCTTAGTTTTAGCTATTACAAATATTGTTATAGTCTGCAACAGTGACTCACCAGTTAAGAGCACTGGGTGGACTGAGCAGCGGTGGCACATGCCTTTAATTCCAGCCCTTGGGAGGCAGAGACAGGAGGATCTCTGTGAGTTCAAAGCCAGCCTGGTCTATAGAATGAGCTTCAGGATGTCAGAGCTGTTACACAGAAAAACCCTGTCTTGAAAAACAAAACCAACCCACTGAGACAGTGGAGCTGATCTATTGGGAGCTCACCAAGGCCAGCTGGACTGTGACTGAAAAAGCATGGGATAAAACCGGACTCTCTGAACATGGCGAACAATGAGAGCTGATGAGAACCCAAGGACAATGGCACTGGGTTTTGAACCTATGTAATGTGCTGGCTTTGTGGGTGCCTAGCCAGTTTGGATGTTCACCTTCCTAGAAATGGACGGAGGGGGGAGGACCTAGGACTTACCACAGGGCAGGGAACCCTGACTGCTCTTTGGACTGGAGAGGGAGGGGGAGAGGAGTGGGGGGAGGGGGAGAAGGGTGGGAGGAGGGGGAGGGAAATGGGAGGCTGGGAGGAGGAGGAAACTTGTTTTTTTTTTCTCCTTTTCTCAATAAAAAAAAAGTTAAAAAAAAAAAAAAAAGAAAAACCAAACCAAACCAACAACCCAAAAATGAGTACTGGTTGCTCTTCAAGAGGACATGGGTTGAATCCTGTGTCCTTACAGCCATGAAACTTTAGTTACGGAGGATTCCCACACCCTCTCTGGCCTCTGAGAGCATTGTATACATGAAGTACACATACACACATGCAGGTAGAACAATCATACACACAAAATAATAAAAGTTTTTAAAAAATAAAAGAAACATTTTATTACATTTAGTGTTGTGTCTGTGTGTGTGCTCTTGTGCTTGTGTGTGTGTGTACGTAAGTCACGATGTGAGTGTGGAGTCAGAGGACAATTTTCAGGAGCTGATTTTGTCCTTTCACCGTGTGGGTCCCGGGGATCAACCTCAGGTCTTCGGACTACCTTTACTCACTGAGGCATCTCAGCTGGCCCCTTGTCTTTGTGTTTTTGAGACAAGGTCTTGCTGTGTAGCCCAGGTTCCCCTGAAGCTCTGGTCCTTTTGTCTCAGCCTCCTGAGTGCTGTAATTTCAGCATATACCATACCCGGCCTGATGCAGATGTAGCTGTAGTCCCCTTAGTAGGTGCTTGTGTAGGATGCACAAGGCCCTGGGTTCTATTGCATTGCATAAAAATGGGGTATGGTGACACACACCTGTAGCACCAACAGCCAGGAGGTAGAGATAGGAGGATCAGAAGCTCAAGGTTCTCCTCGGCTACATAGCAAGTTCAAGGTCAGCCTCGGATACCTGAGATCCTGATCTAGACATAGGTGTCAGTGTGGAGAATAGTACGTGTACTGAGGCATACCAGTTCTTCCCCCAGCATCCCGCATCATCATTGGTTTGTAGTCCATGTGCTTGTTTCAGATTCCTCCTCTGCTGGTCCAAAGGTCTGACCTCTTTTTCCTTTTGCCAGCAGCAGGTGTATGAGGGAGAGGTCAGATCAGTACCTACACCCAAGCTCACAGAAGCCATGCATTCTTGCAAATCCAGAAGGCTAGCTTTTACTCTGTGTTGGTGGTTCTACATTCTCTTTATGCTGTCTGATGTCAGCTTCCCAAGACTGGGGTGATGTTCAGAGGCCATATAGTAACATAAATCAGAGTTGAGATTTGGTCCATGCTCAGTGTCGTACACTCTGGGCTGTGGGTTGTATAATGGACCAGGAAAGTAAGATTCAACTTTTTATCTCTTCCTTTTCTTGCCCTGGGCCCACTGCCAAGGTGCCAGCTTGTGGCATCTGTGCCAGGCCTCTTCCCTGGGCCAGAAGGGCTGTCTGCCCAGCCACCCTCTTGGAGGATCCAGGCAGTCCCTTGTGTGTCTCCTCCAGTCTTCATCGGCTGCCTGCTGGTGTCTGCGCCTGTGTTTGGCTATCTGGGTGACCGCCACAGCCGCAAGGCCATACTGTGCTTTGGGATCCTGCTGTGGTCAGGGGCTGGCCTTTCCAGCTCCTTCATCTCCTACCAGGTAAGGCCTACATCCCTGCCCAGTCCCTGGAACCTTCCCCATCTGCTTTCTTCCTGATCCAGTTGCCTCAGAGTTCCCTTCTGGTCCAAGCCATCTCAGGGACTGTACTGCCAGGGCCCTGGAGGGAGCTGTGGTACAGCCTCTAAGCCTGAGTAGGGAGGCTGTTAGACATGTTTTGTTGTTTTTGTTTTTACTTTTTTGAGACAGGGTCTCACTATAAGAGCACTGGCTGTCCTGGAACTTACTTTGTAGATCAGGCTGGCCTAGAACTCACAGAGATCTGCCTGCTTCTGCTTTCAGAGTGCTGAAACTAAAGGCGTGCACCACTAAAACCAGCTGTTGTTTTGGAAACAGTTTCTCACTCTGTAGCTCTGGTTGGGTTAGACTCTTCATGTAGAAGAGGTTGGTCTTAACTCTCAGAAATCTGCGTGTGTCTGCCTCCCAAGTGCTGAAATCAAAGGCATGCACCACTATGTCCACCTGGCCCATCAGATTTTCTTATGTTTCTTTCTTTTCTTTTTCCTGTCTCTTCTTCTTTTTTAAATGTTTTTTAAAGATTTATTTCTTTGTTATGCATATAGTGTGCTGCTGGCATGCATGCCTACAGGCCAGAAGAGGGCACCAGATCTCATTATAGTTGGTTGTGAGCCACCATGTGGTTGCTGAGAATTGAACTCAGGTCCTCTTGAAGAACAGCCAGTGTTCTTAACTGCTGAGCCATCTTTCCAGCCCCCTTTTCAATGTGTTTTTTTTGGGGGGGGGCAGAGTTTCTCTGTGTTTTGTTGTTGTTTTTGTTTGTATTTTTTCGAGACAGGTTTTCTCACTATATAGCGACGGCTGTTTTACAACTCACTTTGTTGACCTCTCAAACTCACAGAAATCTGCCTGCCTCTGCCTCCCAAGTGCTGGGTTTAAAGTGTGCCACCACGGCCAGCGTGGACCGTTAAACTTTCTTAACAGGAGGCTTCCTGGCCCTTCACTTCCCTTTTTGGGGGGCTTTGCGGGAGTTGGGGGATGTTGGTGTAATAGGTACTGTCTTGGGAAACTGCCCCAGCTAGCAGAGAGCCAGAAGAAGGATTTTCACTCTCTTCTGAGCAGGCAGTGGCTATAAGCACCAGTAGGACCACACATGTGAGTTTGGGAGCCTGGAAATGTTTCTCCCTCCTTCCCTATGGGCCTTTGTCATGAGATCCCTTTAGGCCTTCTGATTCATCCTCTGGCCCCTTGTCCCATGGGAAAATTCCGGATCTCACCATGGTCTTGTGCCGGCTTATCCAGTATTCCTGGCTCTTCTTCCTGTCCCGGGGGGTCGTGGGCACTGGTGCAGCAAGCTACTCCACCATTGCACCCACCGTCCTGGGTGATCTCTTCGTGAAGGACCAGCGAACCTGTGTACTGGCTATCTTTTACATCTTCATCCCGGTCGGAAGGTTGGTATCCAATTCTCCAAAGGTAAACTGAGGCCAAAGGAATCAGTACAGGGGCTGCGCTGTGGGTAGGAGAGATCAAACCAGGAGGGAGGGGTCTGAATCCCATCGTTGCTCCTTCCTTCCCCATCACTGCATCTCTCTTTCTGAGCCTGTCTTCTTGGCTGTAGTGAGGAAAACGCTGCCGCTCAATGGGCTAGTGGGGAGGGAATTAAGTTCCCGGAAGGGGCGAGACGAGGCAGTGTGGCCCAATGGGGAGGGTAGCCTTGGGAGACCAGCGAGGAAGTGTGCTTTGTAGCCCTGCAGCCAGGCCCCTGAGCTCTGACCCTCATTTCCTGAACCTGCCTGACTCAAGCAGAGGCGGGGTTGGTGGTGGGTTATGCCACTCCTTATTTGGAGGGAATGGCACAGGGCCTGGGCTAGAAACCAGAGGTCACTAGGGTTCTGATCAAGGGTGGCGTAAAACTGGCCCTTTCTCAGGGAATGGGCTCTGAGGCTCAGAGAACTGTCTCCCTGGGCGGGGGAGCCAGTTCCCTGCAGTCAGACTGGCTTGGGCCCCGCCTTCCACCCCTCATTGCCCTCTCTCTCTTACTCCACTGTTGCAGTGGTTTGGGCTACGTGCTGGGGTCAGTTGTGGCGGAGCTGACAGGGAACTGGCGTTGGGCCCTCCGAGTGAGTTCCACTTCCTTTTTATCCCTCTGCTTTGCCCCCTGGGTTGGCTGGGACTTTCCAATCTTCTGTGGCCTTAGCCGCTTGGCATAGTACCTGGCGCCATGTGGGGTGTTGGGATGCTGGTGATTGGGGCCTCATGGGGAATATGGACTGTGGAAATTGTGACCTTGGGGTTAAATCTCAGCTGCTCAGTTTGCTGGCTGTGTGTCCTCAGGAAAATTGCCTTCCTGTTTGGGGCCTCAGCTTCCCTTGCTGTAAAAGTTAAGGCTACCAATGGACTCTTAAGGATTATTTGGACAAGGACTGGTAAATTTCTGGGCGAGGCCAGGCACAGAGCATCCCTAAGGACTGCCATCCGGGGTGACTTGGTAGTGGAGTCAGGACAACTGGGAACATAACCTGGGAGATTCTGCTGGCCAGTGGCTCTCATTAGAATAAGAATATGACTGGTGGAGAATGCCCTTAATCCCAGCACTTGGGAGGCAGGTGGATCTCTGTGAGTTCGAGGCCAGTCTAAAAAAGAACAAGGATATGGACCACTCAGAAGAGACAGAAACTGGGTAGCCAAGGGTGCTGGGGCTTGGAAGAGACTGGGGCAGGAAGAGGCTGCGAGGAAGCCGGCCTGACTTGCTTTGAACAGAAGCCTTCTCGTGGTCTAAACTGTTTGAAGCTGCCCCAGGGTAGGCAGTGAGATTCATGTCCTGCGGACAGGGGTGCCAGGAGAGGAAGGCAGGGTGGGACTGGTGTGGCAGCTTTAAGTGTGAGCCAGGAAAAGGGCTTGTGAATACTCAGTGGTCTGAGTTTCCATTTTCGACTACCTTAGGCTCCCTGGTGCCAGTAGGGGACAGTTTGTACTGAGCAGGGGGGGCGTTAATTGGGTGTCAAGGTAACCACACTGGCAAGAGAGTCTATCCTAACTCTATAAGGGCGAGGGCAAGTGTTAGGGCCAGCTCTATATAACCAGCACCTGGGACTCCAGGCTAGACTAGAGTTCAGCTACTGTGGTGGGTCATCTCCTGTCTCCCTAGGCTACAGTAGAATTTGTCCCTGAGCTCCCTGGCCCTCCTTTCCTAGATCATGCCCTGTTTGGATGCTGTGGCCTTAGTTCTGCTCATCCTGCTGGTTCCAGACCCACCCCGAGGAGCAGCTGAGAAACAGGAAGAAGTGGCTGTGAGGGCTCCGAGGAGCAGTTGGTGTGAGGACGTCAGATACTTGGGGAGAAAGTAAGTGTGTCCCCGCTCTCTGTTGCAAGTCTCAAGAAACCCTTCTGCCAGGCCTAATAACTCCAACCTCTGTCTCTCTGCCGCTAGGATGGCCTCAGTGTTCATTGCCTTTTTCCTCTTCTGAGCTCCACACTTACTGAGATGCCCCTCTCTTATGTTCCCTCTGCATGTGGCAGAGGGTGGGGCAGGCTGCATGAGCTCTAGCCTTGTGCTGTGTTCATTTATCCAGTGGTCATATTTCTCTAGCCCCACCTGCTTCCCCAGGCTTCTGGAAGGATGTTGTGAGTTCATTGTCCATCTCTTCAAACTGCATGGGAGCTACATTGGCCCAGGTGCCTACCAGGTCTCGAAGAGAAGCAGGACAAGCTCTCCTCACTGTGGTCTCAGGCCTTATGAATCACTGCGGCATGGATAGCTGGGGACATTAGGGAGGCTGGATCCTGCATGCCTGGGGCACTGGTCAGGCCCTTTCAGTCCTGGCCCTATCACTTTCTCTTGCAGCTGGAGTTTTGTGTTTTCAACCCTCGGAGTGACGGCCATAGGTTTTGTGACTGGAGCTTTGGGCTTCTGGGCACCCAAGTTTTTGTTTGAAGCTCGCGTGGTCCACGGCCTACAGCTTCCCTGCTTCCAGGAACAGTGTGGCAGTCAGGACAGGTGAGGAGGGGCTGAGGGCACTGGCCTGGTTCCTGGCTCTTGCTGGGACAGTTCCCTGGAGGCTGTGAGCCCAGGCTCAGTCTTTCCAGGCAATCTGTGAAGATGGCTTATCTTCACAGATCACTCACGGCAGGTCAGGGTTCCAGCTCTGACCTGAGCTGGCTATCATATGTGTACAGACATCTCCACTGGTTCTTGTGGGTACTGGAATCCTTGGCTTCTTACTCTTGTGGCTATTCCGGGAGTTCCAAAGACACCAGGGGGAGGATATGAGGCTTCTGTGGAGCTTCAGGGGGTGATAGGAATCATAGATTCCTTGCCTTTCAAATGGGCCCCAAGTGTCTTCTGTGAGGTCACCCCACTTTACAGATTGCAAACTAAGTCACTGAGAAGCTCCTTCTTGCGTTTGGCTTAGGGATGTCAAGGATGTGTTCACTTCTTCTCTGTCCCATCAGGGCTTCTAGACAGCCAGGAGAGTTGTTGAGGTATCATTTCATTTCCTCCTGACCGGTCCTCTGGTTCTGTTGGGCTCCCTACTGTCCCTACCACCTCTTGACGTATTCTCCAAAGACTCCATTGACCTCCTGAAGGGAGTCAAGAATATCTCCTAGGCCTACATCCCTTGTCTCCCCTCCTCTTTGACGCCCCTAATTCCTTGCCCCCTCCTCTGAAAGCATGCTTTCTCTTCTGTATTCTTTTTCCTCTTTGACTTTGCCCTTCTGATTTCTTGGACTTTTAAATTAAGTGAAATTAAATTTTATGTATATTGGTGTTGAACGAGCATGTATGTCTGTGCACCACATGTATGCAGTGCCTGAGGAGGCCAGAAGAGGGCACCAGGTCCCCAGCACTGAAGTTACTGATGGTTGTGAGCTGCCATGTGGGTGCTGGGAATCAAACCTGGTCCTCTGCAAGTGCAGCTAGTGTTCTTAGCAGTGCTCTTAACCATCGAGCTTCTCTCCAGCCCCTCCTTGAGCTTCTAAATCCCCAGCCTCCCCTCTGCCTGGTTCTCTGCTGGTCTCACCAACACCTACTTTCTCTTCTCCAGCCTCCTTTTTTGCCTCAATTTTACTCCCCGATGCCCAGAGGGAGCTTGTGTGATTTCCAGAATGTCTGTGCGTCTGCCCCAGTGTTATCTCTGCCCCCAGTTTCCTTCCCTTTCTCATCAATGTTTATTAAACTTACTTATTTTCCAGTTCTGGGGATTGAACTCCAGGCCTTGCACATTCTAAGCAAGTGTTCTTTGGGGCGAACGCTAGTCAAATATTCCACGGATGAGCCACGCACCCAGCCTCTCCAGCAGGTTTTTGTGAAGGGCTCTATCAATGAGCCCCACCTCCAGCTCTAAACATTTGCTTCAGGCCTCATGCCAATTGTTTTACATAGAAAACCTGCCTAGGAAGGTATTTATGCTGTCTCTGAATTACAAATGAGATGCAAGGTCACACAGATTAAGTGACTTGTCTAGGATCACACAACTACCAAGCAATAGTCAAGATCGAATCTATCTAACACCGCAGCTGTTGTTCTGAAGCTCCACACCCTGTTGCCACTGCAGACAGCAGCTGTCAGTAACCTGCCCCACCAGCTGGCAGAGCTGTCAAGGATATAGAAAAAATCCTGTGAACAAACACATAGAGGTGGAGAGGTTTGCCCTTGTTCCCCACTGGTGCAGTTGTACTCCCTGGAGGCAGAGACAGCTTCCGGAAACAGCCCCGAAGACTCAATCCCATTGCAGGTATTGATACTTGTTTATAGAAGCCGTTGTCTCTGCTCAGCTTCCACTCTCCGGCCTCTTCACACCATCTGTCTGAGAACTGAGGGGCATATTTGTTTCTTGTGCTTGATAAAGTCAGTGACCACACACTTACTGGTCTCAAACCACAGAAATGTGGGCTGGGGCTGTGACTCAGGTAGCAGCTTTCCTGGAGTGCATGAGGCCCTGCATTTGAGCCTAGAATTGCACAAGTCCCGAATAGTGTCCCACACCCTTAATCCTATCACGTGGGAGGAGGAGGCACGAGGACCAGAAGTTCAAGGGTGGATCCTTGCCATCAAGACTGGTGACCTGATTTTCGATCCCTGGAAACCTACATGGTAGAAGGGGAGAACCAACTCCCTTGACTTCCACTTGTACACTATGGTACCTCATACACACATACAAACATACACATATATACACATGCTTATGATATACATAAGGTTCAAAGTCAGCCTCAGCTACATAGGGAGTATGTATGAGGCTAGCCTGATAGCTGACCCACATGAAAATCTACCTAAAAAAAGGAAGGGGGAGAAAGAAAGAAAAAGGTTATGTCCTTGCTCAGTACTGAAAAATAAAATAAAATAAAAAGCCCAATTTAAAAAAACCCGGATATTAGCCAGGCAGTGGTGGCACATGTCTTTAATCCCAGCACTTGGGAGGCAGAAGCAGGTGGATCTCTGTGAGTTCGACGGAAGCCTGGTCTACAAGAGCTAGTTCTAGGACAGCTAGGGCTATACAGAGAAACCCTGTCTCGAAAAACCAAACCAAACCAAAACAAAACAAAACACCAAAGTGGAGAAATGAGTTTTGTCCTGAGTTTGGAGGCCTACACTTCCAGCCATCACAAATCAAGGTGTGGTGTCTGCAGGGTCACGTTCCCTTGGAGTTCTGTGGAACCTTTGCCTGTCCTAGGTCTTTATAGGCTGATAGCATTCCTTGGCTATATCTCTCTTACCTTTGCTTTCAAAGTCACATGACACGATCCTTTATTTCTGGGCTGGAGGTCCCCCAGTGAACACAGAAGTGACTATGAGCAGGGCTAAGGGAGGGCAGTCATTCCAGGCAATATGAGGGTTCCGAATATCCGCAAAGTGTGGTTTTCCCCAGAAGGTTCCAGAGATTGGAATATTTTGTGAGGCTACAGTTTTAGCCTAGGGAAGAGCAGTAGAAAGTCCTCATGTTGGGGCTACTACAACCCCTTGGTTAGGATCAGCCCCAGATGCAGTGAGAGAGAGGTGGTGTCCTAGCTTGCTTTCTGTCGCTGCGATAAACACCATGACCAAAAGCAGCTTGGAGGAAGAAGTGTTCATTTCCTCATCTTCCACTTCCGTGTAACAGTCCACCACTGAGGTAGCTTGGGGCAGGAATGCAGGCAGGAATGGGGTGGGGGAGGAACTGAAGCAGAGCCATGCAGGACTGTTCTTTACTGGCTTGCTCTCCTGGATCACCTGCTTGGGGTGGTCCAGTTCCTTCCCCCAGCAATCCTTAGTCAAGAAAACGCCAGAGGCCGGAGAAGTGTCTCAGGTTTTTTTCTTTTCTTTTCTTTCTTTCTTCCTTCCTTCCTTCCTTCCTTTCTTTTTTTTAGAACACTTGCTTGCTCTTGCAGAGTATCTGGATTTTGTTACCAGCACCTACAGGACAGCTCACAACTGTCCTAAAGTCCAGTCTCAGGGGATCCAGCACCCTCTTCTGACTTCTATGGTTACCAGTGCACGTACACACGCATACACATACAAATAAATAAATAAGTCAGGAGTGGTGGTGCATGCCTTTAATTCCGGCACTTGGAAGGTAAATCTGTGTGACTTTGAGGCCAGCCTGGTCTGCATAGTAAGTTCTAGGACAGCCAGAGCTACATAGTGAGACCCTGTCTTGGAAAAAAGCAAGAAAGGAAAGGCCTCACAGACTTGACCATCTGACTGAGGTCTCTCCTCAACTGAGGTTCCTGAAAGTTCTTCTCTGACCTCCACTTGCACATAGGACTCCAGTTTGTGACAAGTTGACTAAAAAAATTAAGTAACACCAGGAGGAAGCTCCCTGTGCAGCCACGGGAGAGCTTCCAACCCTGAAGCTGAAGTGGCCCACAGGAAGTTGCAGCATGGCAGGGAGTAGAAGTCCTATCTCGGGGTGTGTGCAGATGGAGTCTGGACTGCTGTAGAGCTTATAGGAGCCCCATTGGGATCTTGCGTTGGGGGTGGTACTTGAAGGTCTTACGGGCTGAGGCATATTTTCTCCTGGCAAGAGAGCCAACCCACATGTCACATTTGTTGAGTGTGTGTGTGTGTGTGTGTGTGTGTGTGTGTGTGTAGAAGTCAGTGTCACATCTCAGGAGCTGTCCACTTGATTTTTAGGCTGGGCCGGCTGGCCAGAGAGCCTGACCGATCTACCCATCTCTGCTTTCGCAAGCCTGAGATTATGAAAGCGTGACATCATCATGTTCGACATTTATGCTGATGCGAGGGATTGAACTCAGGTCTTCGTGCTTGAGAGGCAAAGCACTGAACTGACTGAGCTACTCTCCTCAGCTCTCATGGGGATAACAGTTGGGCCCTGGCCATCTCACACAAGTCTGTGATTTTTGTGTCTGAGCGGGGACATGGCTGGGGAGACAGGTGTTTTTTGGAGCCACAGAGGCTGGCCAGAAATCATGAGACTGGCACAGAGAACTGTCATTTGTGCAATGAGGGTCTGAGAGAGGAGGCCACACTGGAGGCCAGTCCCACGGGGCCATATGTTGGCAGGGGTTTGTAGAGAGGACACCAAGAGTGCCACAGAGGTCCCACAGAGGTTAGATTTGGCTGTCAGAGTCCACATTGGTCACTGTCTCAGTGAGGCCTTGAAAGTCCTTTAAAAGGAGCAGTGGGGTGATGGTGTCTGTCTGTCTGTGCAGATCCTGTCTCTGTATCCAGCAGCTGTCTGATACTGCCCTTCACCTTTCCTAGTCTTGCAAGAGTTTGTTTGTTTAACATGTGTCATTTATGTTCTGGGCTCCCAACACAGAGGACAGGAGAGAAACCAAATCTGGACATTGCTTTTCAGGAATCTGCAAGGTATGGATGGTAGATAGTGCTACAGGGACCAATGGAAATAAAGTAGACAGCATGGGCACAGTGGATGGTGTCCCCTGGGAGGGAATATTTGTGAGAGTCACGTGGGCAGAGCAGGAATTTGGAAAGCTGAGAATACAGCAAGCAAGGAAACAAGAAAACTACTGCAGAGTGTCCCAAATGAAGAAATGGAAGTACGTGGGGTTTGCAGAGTTGAGGACAGGAAGAGCAGAGCTGGGACTTGAGGTTCAGGGAGCTGGGACCTGATCTCTGGGTATTTGAGAGCTGATGGAGGATTTGGACAAAGTGGGGTTAGGAACATAGTCAATCGTGTCTTAAGAAGCACTTCCTGGGACTGGAGAGGAGGCTCAGTGGTTAGAGCACTGGCTGCTCTTGCAGAGGACCTGGGGCTGTGTTCCCAGCACCCGAGTGGCAACTCACAATTCCCTGTCACTTCATCTTCAGGGGACCTGATGCCTCCTCTGACCACCATTGGTACTACATGCACACATAAAAATAAGGTCATGGAGGAGGAAGAAGTGCTTTCTGACGATCTGTGTAGAGAGATAATCTCTGTCAAAGCCTATGGGGTTGAAGTGTGTACAAGAATGGGTGGGAAAGGTGTCCTATTGGGGGCTGCTTGGGAGATATACAGAGCCAGTGTGAAGATGGGTGAGATTCAAGAGGGGAATGTGGAGGTGTGGTGGTACTTACCTCTGATACCAGCACTGGGGAGGCAAAGATAGGTGGATCTCTGTGAGCTAGAGGCCAGCCTTGTCTACATAGTGAGATTCAGGCCAGCCAAGGCATAACAAGAGCCTATCTTAAAAAAAAAAAAAAAAAAAAAAAGGAAGAAAGAAAGAAGAAAACCAAACAACAAACCCCACCACCACCAAAACAAAATGAACAACAAAAAAGAGGTGAATGTGTGCCATCATCTAAGCATTGAGGATGGGTGGGGCCCTAGAGTTAAAATTTCTGAGTGGGGCTTTTGGAGCGGTGAGGCAGAGGTCACCGTGGATGTGCCTGGGTGGAGGTTTCTACATAGTTAGGGTCCTTAGCTTTCCAGCTGCAGCTCTGGGCTTGCCTCCTGCTGGTACCAGATGGTGTAACTGGGTCAGGTAGCCTAACCCTGGAGGCAGGGATAGGATGCAGGTCTGACCAGGTTCTCTCTGTCTTTTTCCATCAGCCTGATTTTTGGGGCACTGACAGTCGCAACTGGCATTATTGGTGTCATCCTGGGGGCGGAGGCCTCGAGAAGGTACAAGAAGGTGAACCCCAGGGCTGAGCCCCTCATCTGCGCTTCCAGTCTATTTGCTGCAGCTCCCTGCCTCTTCCTGGCCCTCATCTTGGCCTCAAGGACCCTCCTGGCCTCCTATGTAAGTGAGGGCCCCCTGGAAGTGGGTGGGAAACCCTTGAGGATGCAGGTGCACACTAAGCTGTGAATTTGTGTTCATTGTATGGGTCATCTCTTCCAGCCTGGTCTCTGAGAACTGCCCCAAAAGAGGCGGGACTAGATTTGATTGCAGTCCCCTTTTGACTGTGGAGTGAGTCTCTCTGGCCTACTGGTTGGTTGTCTGGGTAGGGTAGGAATGTTTACCTGTCCCAGGGTGTGTTGTGAACCTGGGGAGGCAGAGGGAATGTCCCACAAGTTCCAGATGAGAAAGGTTGGTTATGGCTGGTGCAGACCTTGCTGGAAAGACAGTTATGGCCAGCATTCCATTCTAGTCTCTCCTGTGTCCCATATTCTGCCTAGGGGTCTACATTTTGCTTGTGTCTGTTCCTCTTCTGTCGGAAATCTTTCTCTTCCCACAGTCATTATTCACTCCTCTGAAGTGTCCCCAGATTGTCAAGCATCCTGTCACTATTCACTGTTGCCACCCTCCTACCTGTCCCGCCAAGTGGGAAGGACTTGCTGTTTCTAGGAGGACAGAATCAGCTTTGCACCCTTGACCATAGGCATCAGGTCCACTGAGCTGGCTGAACTCAGTAAATTGGTTGTGGTTTTACTGTTGTGCCCCCTCTCCCCTGCCGCGGTCCTGGTGACTGTCCTGTTATGGCCAGTCACATTCAAGGACTAAAAAGTCTGGTTCCACTTAAATCACAGCTTCTGCTCTGCCTCTGAATAAGGCTGTTATCCAGGCACAGAAAATTGCCCTGGGATGAGGGGACCCACGGTGTGCCCAGGTTCCTTGTCGCATTTCTGTCCTTTGTCTTGGTTACCACCCCTCCCCACGATTCTGACTCCTGCCGGGCTGAGCAGGTGAAGGATGGCAGAAAATGGACAAGGGCTACCTGGGAAGGCGTTGTTTTCTGTCATTGCCTTCTGAGTGACAGTTGCCCAGATGCTAAGGTTGGGAACACTTCTGGAGATTTGGAGTGGGCTCCGACCTTGCTTAATTCCTTAAGGCCGATGTGGCCTCTCTAGCAGTTCACCGCAGTGCACACCCATGACCTTCATGACTCCCCTGAATGCTGTCCTTCCGACTCACCTGGTCTCTCTCCTTCCCCATTCTGTACTCTGCTCCCTCTTGCACTTCACCCTAAGACTTCCCCAAGGGGACTCAGTCCCTAGGGACCATACTTCCTAGTGCCACCTAACAGGGGTTGGCGAGCACAGAGGAGGCCTTGAGGTGGCTTTAGTCTAAGAGGACCTAAACTTAGCAGGTGTCCTGCCTGTCCCTTTCTGTCCTTATCTAAGAAAACTTCTCTTTCTTTTTATTTTTCACCCGGCTTTCCTGAAACTCTCTCTGTAAACCAGGCTGGCATCCAACTCATAGAGATCCACCTGCCTCTGTCTTTTGAGTGCTGGGATTAAAGATGTACACACCACTACTGCCTGCCAAGAAAAGATCTCTTTTGAGAAATTCCCTGGGGGCGGGCTGATGAAACGGCTTAGTGGGTAAGGATACTTGCTGCCAAGTGACCTCAGTTTGATCTTTGTAAACCCCATGGTAGATGGAGAGGTTCTCTCTCTCTCTCTCTCTCTCTCTCTCTCTCTCTCTCACACACACACACACACACACACACACACACTCACTCACACAAATGTTTAAAGAAAGAAGAAGAAGGGGCTGGAGAGAAGGTTCATTGTTAAGAGCACTCACTATTATTCCAGAGGACCTGGGTCCTATTCCCAGCATCCATACTGTGGCTTATAACAACTTGTAACTCTACATACAGGGGATTTGGCCTCCTAGGCCATCAGCACACACATGATATACATACATGCAGACAAAATACCCATACTCATAAAATAAATACATAAATTTTTAAAAAGAAAAGAAAAAAAGTAAATGCTCCAGGCCCAATGTGGAGCCTGCTCCTGGACACACTGGCTGGCAGTCGGTGGAAGATGCCTTAGGGTGCACCTGTGCCCTCTTCAGGGGATGTCTTAGGGTTTCTATTGCTGTGATAAAACACTGTGACCAAAAGCAAACAGGGGAAGAAAAGGTTTATTTCACTTAACACTTTCACATCACAGTTCATTGTGGAAGGAATTCAGGGCAGGAACTCAGAGCAGGAACCTCAGGACAGTGCTGATGGAGGAGTGCTGTTTCCTGGCTTGCTCCTTATGGCTTGTTCAGCTTGCTTTTTCCTTCCTTCCTTCCTTCCTTCCTTCCTTCCTTCCTTCCCTCCCTCCTTTCTTTCTCTCTGCCTTTCTTTCCTTCCTTCCTTCTTTCTTTCTGCCCCTTCCTTCCTTCCTTCCTTCCTTCCTTCCTTCCTTCCTTTCTTCCCTTTTCCCAAGGCAAGGTTTCTCTATGTAGTCCTGGCCATCCTGAAACTCACTTTATAGATGAGGCTGGCCTCGAAATCAGAGATTCTCCTGATTCTGCCTCCTGAGTGCTGGGATAAAGGTGTGTGCCACCACCACGGAACTGAGCCTGTTTTCTTATAGAATCCAGGACCACCAGTCCAAGAATGGTACCACCCACAATGGGCTGAGCCCTTCCCCATCAATCTATCAATCTCTAATTAAAAAAATGCCCTATAGATTTGTCTAAAGACTGATCTTATGAAGGCATTTTCCCAGCTGAGGCTCTCTCCTCTCAGATGACTCTAGCTTATGCCAAGTTGCCAAAAAACTAGCCAGAACAGGGGAATTTCCCTGAACTTCCTGGAGACTGGAAGAGGCTACCATCATCCCTCTCACAGGTTCACCATGGAAGATTTTTCTCATCCCATCTCACAGACTGGAAAACTGAGGCCCAGAGAGAGCAACAAAAGAGTAAGACAGACAGATGTTTGCCTCAGGCTTGGATATATCATGTCTGTGCCCTTGCGATTCTGTAGGAGAGAAGCAGCTGGGCACGAACAGATGCTTCCATGCTTACTGTCTGGGTGGAGTGGAGAGGCATGGATTGTTCCTTCTACTGGTGAGAGCTGGTGGGACTGACAGGGACTAAACTTGCAGGGAGACTGAGGCCCAGGTGGACCGGGGCCCTGGCAGAGGCCCTGGCAGGCAGCTTTGCTTCTGCTAATGTCTTCTTTGGCTCCTGCAGGCTGCTTCTTGGCTATGTTTTGGGGACACAGCTGTCCCCCACTCTGCAGTCTGGCAGGCTTCAGAGCTGCGTGTCTCATCTAGGAGTGCTACTGCAGCTCAGCTAATCAAGCCCTCTAGGAGAGGTCTAACTGTTTTCCAGTCCTGTCCCTGTTGGGAGTGGGGGCCAGGAAGGTGCTCAGAGCAAGGAGGCATCCACCTTCCAGTGCTAGAAATGTCTTGACTTTTGGAGTGTTCTGTGGGTCGAGTCTCCATGATCAGATTGCAGCCCTTACTCTCCAAGGCTCTGTCAGTGCTACTACCCCGGGCCTACTGGAAGTTGTGACCTGAAATGCAAGTTGAGTCTACCCTTACCAGTCCTCATTCATGAAGTCCTTACCACCCAGTCCCACTGCGCCTGCCCATTCCTTCTTCCCTGCCCTGTATCATCAGCCTTCCCAGCATTCTCTGGGACTGTCCTCTGCCATAGCCACTTCTTGCCCTCCATCACCTTACTTGCTGTGTCTGTTCATCCTACATGGCCAGGGGAGCTTCTGGACACCATGGTCCTTGCCAGCTCTAAAGCCTAGCGCAGCTCCCTGGTTCTCTGGAAGAAGGTATAAGTTCATCCTGGCATTTAAAGCTTCACATGAACTGCCCTGACAGCCAGCCTCACTGGCCCTTCCCTCTGCACTTCTGTGTTTCGGGACCCTTCCTAGATTCCTAGAGCATACTCAGTGGCCCCCCTTTCAGTCCACTTATCACCCCTCCTTGTCCATATGTCTATACCATTCTGGGCCTCCAGGGCAAGGTCAGATTAACACTGGCTCTTCTTGGAGCCTTCCTTCTCTTATTGGTGGCCTAGTCCTCTGTCCCCAGCATTACTGCTTCTCAGTGCTCTCATCCTTGGATCAAGTTATTTGATTCTGACATATTCTTTATTCTCACTTTCTCTCTCTCCCTCCCTCTCTCTCTCCCTCTCTCCGTGTGTGTGTGTGTGTGTGTGTGTGTGTGTGTGTTTCTTAAGACAGGGATTCTCTATGTATCTCTGGCCATTCTGGAACTGGCTTTGTAGAGCAGACTGGCCTTGAACTCAAAGATCTGCCTGCCTTTGCTTCAGAAGTGCTGGGATTAAATACAAGTGCCACCACGCCTAGTTTCATTTTGATCTCTTATAGCTCCAGCTAGTGAATTCTAACAGGGCCCTAGCCTTGTTCCTACCCTTCTCAGCACTCCAGGCCCAAGTGCAGCATCAGGAATGCAGGAGTAAGGTGGGAGTGGTCACTGCTTGCTGAGAGAGAAGTTCAAGGAAAACCTGTTTATATCTATTTGCTTATTCAGTCCTATTAAATATTGGTCATTGACTTCCTAGTTCAAATGCTACTTACATTTTAGCTTGGAGAAAAAGACTGCAAGCAAGACACATGAGGAGAAGCAGGGAATAGTGGAGCGGCCCAGGAATCATAGCACTCAGGGGACTGAGACAGGAGTTCTAGGCCAGGCTAGACTGCCATACTGTACATCAAGACCCCATCTCAAAGCAAACAAGTAAACAGATACCTAAGTAAAAAGTTTATGCTATTTCAAGTGATTAAAAATACATAGAAAAAGCCGGGCGGTGGTGGCGCACGCCTTTAATCCCAGCACTTGGGAGGCAGAGGCAGGCGGATCTCTGTGAGTTCGAGGCTAGCCTGGTCTACAAGAGCTAGTTCCAGGACAGGAACCAAAAAGCTACGGAGAAACCCTGTCTCGAAAATCAAAAAAAAAAAAAAAAAAAGAAAGAAAGAAAAGAAAAATTACATAGAAAAATTTTGTAGATTGAAGAGGGGAAATAGTAAGTGACTGTTGATGAGAGAAGGGGTCAGTTATATAGAGAGGCCAAAGGGCTCTGAGAAGGTG